GGCAGGAGAGATTGAGCTAGGCCCAGGATGTGATTGCCACCAGGAAACAAGGACGCTTTCAAATTGTGAGGGCGATGCTGAGAGGACAAAGGGGTTGGTGGAAAGGGACTTCCACTGACTGACAAGCAGCTACAGCTTCAGCCTCAAAAAAGAGAATCATAGTGTCATTGAAACCAGGTCAGTCTAGGGAAGCTACAAAGCCATAATGACAGGTCAGCATTAAGCGTAACCCCAAAGAAATCGGACCCACGCCAGCTTCCTGCCCCGCCAGTGCTGTGAGGTTACTCGTGTTGTTCTGGATCTGTTTACTGTCTCCACAGGAAGATGGTGAGACTCACATTAGCTGAGGCACCGATCAAAACCCACCTGGAGAAGAGTGACAGGCCTGAGTGACAGTTCTGACCTCCCAGAGTCCTGGGGCCACCAAGGAAGTCAGCTTGAAGTGGGGGTGGGAGGCGGGTGGTGGAAAGAAATGGGGTCAGCAAGGGAACTTGGAGGATTCTTCCAAATGGGGTTCAGAATGCTTCACTCCTCTTAGTCTCTAAGACCCATGGCTGGGCCCTGGCCCTCCTCCTTGGGTGAGTACATCTATACATTCTGAGAAGGCATACAAATAAGTATGAAAAAGCAAGGCGATGACAAGGAAATGGGCACGGCATTGATTTCTGTGGGCAAGTTATTGGAATTGTTAACCAAACGGTAAAAAGGCCTTTCAAAGTGAGAGGCAACAAACATTTATTTGCGATCAATAAAAACAGCTGTTTGTGAGCACCGAGTCACGCAGAAGCCCAAACAGTGTTCGGATTAGGAGACAAAGGCAAGGGGTTTTATGAGAAGGGGAAGGGGAGCAATTACATCAACAGAAGGAAGGCATTTCTATTGGTGCAGGAGACATAACATAGCGATGTTAATTCTAAACCATGTTTTTAGTTTTCCGTCGGGTAGTCATCAGTCCTGCAGCCATAATGACTGCTTTCTTGTTATCTTTGCTGACAGACCTTTCACAAGCATAGGCTGGCTCGGCCCAGTCCAAGGCTGTTCTGCCCGGTGTTAACATCCCTAAGGGGCCAGGCAGCAGGCTGCGCGGCAGTTGCTCTGGCCTAGCAGCTCCAGCTCCGTTTTGAAGTTGCTCCGTTTAATCGCTGCTTACGGAATGCAGGCGGCCTCACAAGTCTTGCCATTACTGCCTATGCTTTGAGTCAGGAACGCGTCGTCTACATTTAAGACACATAAACCGTTAAAGAGAATTTGATTTTCCACTTGGATGTTTTCTTGGTTTGGCTTCCAGGTTTGGCAGAACAGCAGGGAAACTAGTTGCTTGTCACAGGTGTAAGGGTGCCCCGTCAAGTGTGCAAGAGCGTGCACCCCCTTTTCCAGGCGGACTCCGGCTGTATGGGGGGGGACCGGGAGCTCGGGCTGGGGTCCCGCGCGCCGGGCTGCTTCTCCGAGGCTCTCTCTGCCTCTGCCCCTGGTTTCCATCTACCACTTCCCCTGAGACGCGTCGGGGCCTCGGTGGCCCCCCGCGTGAACTGGACTGTTGGGGTCCTCTGCGGGACACCCCCCGCCCCCCCGCCGCAGGCCAGGTCCCCCGCGCGAGGTGCGGTCCACGGTGTGCATGGTATTGCGACCGCCCCTGTGGTCCTGGGAAAACATTTCCCGAACTCACTTCCTCCGGACATTTCCGATCCTTCCTTCCTGCACTTTCTAATATTCCACTTGTCGTCGCGTGGCATTCCCGCCTGTGTTGCCTTTTTATGGTCCGGGATTGTAAGGAGACGAATAAAACGCGCGCATATGTGTGCACAGGCACCTACATTGCTAGGGCAAATGGCTGAAGTGGAGACATTTACTAATGGGGAGAAACCTCTTCCAGGTGGGAAAAAGGACGAGCCCCGGGGGTTGTTTCCGCCCGGTTTCGAACCGGGGACCTTTCGCGTGTTAGGCGAACGTGATAACCACTACACTACGGAAACAGGCGGTAGCAGGCCCTTTCCCTGAGTCCTATAGGGTGTAGGCCACCGTCACCGCCCAGGCCTGCAGGCCCACCTCCCAGTCAGAGTCCGGGAATATAAATACCCCGGTGTCCCTGGGTAACGATTTTTGTCCAACTGCAGAGCGCGACCTGTTAATGGGTCGGAAAATCAGTCACTTCCAGAAATCAAAAAAGAAAAAAAAAAAAAAGAAAAAGAAAAAAATTGTGAACAAAGCAGCGGGTCTCGCAGAAGGGAAGGTAAAATGTAGCTTCGAAGACTTGAGCCTGGTTAACTCTGTCCACTACTGTGTTTATGGTTCTAGGGGCCCTGGTTCTATGGATCTGATAATCCAGATGGCTACTAACTGACTAACCAGGGGTGGCATATATAGAATCTATTCTAGGGAGACCGTTGCAAGGTTTAAATTTTCACATAACTTGTTCCCTATTGACAGTTAAGATCTAAAGAATTAAAACACACAAAATACGCCTGTCTAAGCGTGGTTTAGTGGGTGAGCATTGACCCATAAACCACGAGATGCTGGTCAAGACATATTCCCGGGCTGTGGGGCCCCATCCCCAGTGAAAGAGCCTGCAGGAGGCAGTTGGTTAATGACGCTCTCATCTTTGATGTTTCTATTTCCTTCTCCCTTCCTCTCTGAAATCAATAAAAATATGTTAAAGAAGCACAAAATGCACTCAAAGTATATGAGATTTGGGTATATCTTCATCGAAATGTAAATTAAAATAAATACAAATAGGTAAAAATGAAATTAATTTTACACATGCTTTCAAAATAATTATATATTTCTTATAAGTTATATAAAATTATCTGTTTTAAGAGAGGAGATTGAAATGAATGACTATCAAATTTTAAGTCAGTGATATTTCAGTAAAGCTAAAATTTTATTAAATTTTGAAAACTTAATGAAATCTTTTAAGTATTTTATAAAAAAAAACACTCATCAACCCTAGCATTTAATGTACAGAATTGGGATGCGTTTTAATGTATGTTATACGTAGATCTACACATAATCAAATTTAAAAGTAGTAATGATGGCTTAATATTGCAAAATATTACGCGTATTCCTGTGGAACCAGGAATAGGAACAGAGGCTGAGCCCTATGGAGTAAGAATCCTTGATGTGTGGTCAAGTCACCGGGAACCTGCAGGGGTCCCGGTCCATGGATTCGTTACCGCTGTCCTTTACTCCAACATCATTGGATTCTACAGCCCGGCCCCCACCCCTTTTGGCCCATTTCGACTCCCTTGGCCTTGGTGGAAGTTCACCTGCTGCCTTTTCTCCTCCTCCAACTCCTCCACCATCTACCAGAGGCCATCTCCCTGGGCAGTCAGAGTCCCCCTCACAGCTTGACCCAACCTTTATCCCCACATCTGTGGCTCCAGCAATGACGGCTTTCCCCAAGCTTCAGATCCACGCGTCCTGGAAATGTCCCCTTGGGCTTCTCCCAACCTGTTCAAGGTTGCCCTCATTACAGTAGCACCCACTTGTTTGCAGGGCTATATCCCAGACCCCCACTCGACGCCTGAAGCCAGAACTATGCTTTTTCCTGTGCGCACATAGGAACGTAGAGGAAGTACACGTGCATATCCGAATGGCCAGCACTAGTACTCTTGCACCTTAGGGGCCATTATTAAGTAAGATAAGGGCGACTTGAACACAAGCACTTCAATACCCTAACATGGGATCTGATAACCCAGATGGCACTAACTGACTCACCAGGGGTGGCATATAAAGCTCGGAGAGCGTGGACAAAGGACGATCCACGTCCTGGGCCAGAGGGATTGACATGGCATGAGATTTCATCTTGCTACTCAGAATGGCGAACAATTTAAAACTTCCACGTCCTGGGCCAGAGGGATTGACATGGCATGAGAATGGCGAACAATTTAAAACTTATGTATGTTTATTTCTGGAATTTTCCATTTAATATTTTGGGATCATGGTTGACCCCGAATAACTGAAGCCAGGGAAAGCAGAACTGCTGATAAGGGGGAATACCGTCCGTCTCTCTCCTCTGTCACTCCCCACTCCCAACACTCAGTCTCTGATCTTGGTTATTACACCACCTAAAGCAGAAACCTGGGAGCTTCCCTCCTGCCCGGGTTCAAACCGGGCATCGAGCGCCTTCACCTGCTGCCGCCTGGGCCCTTCCTCAGCCTCCCGTGGCCTGGACTTCAGCTGTCCGTTCTAGCCCCGCTCCCCGAGGCAGCCGCACGCCCCGCACACCTGCTGCTCACCATTGCTGAAGGATCACTTTAAGATGGAAATCAGAGTGATCCCGCTGCCTCTGCGCCTATCATTATCGCTCAGGATAAAAACCAAACACCCTACCAAGCGTTTGCTGAACGTCTGAACTGATGAACTTGACTCCTTTGTGCCAAGAGTAGTGTGGGTCACCACTCAGAGCGGGGATTTCAAACTGGGCCTGGCCGGAGGGGCTGCGGTGGGAGGAGTGGCCAGGAGAGAAAAGCAGGAATTGTAGTAAAAAGCTCCAGGGAGCCCTCTGTGTACTGGGAGACAGGGACGCGAAGCCCGTCCATTATGTTTTCCCTTTAATTAAAAAGCCAACATTTTACAAGGAATGTTTTCCAGTCCCAGTGAAGGTGATCCGTGTGACAGTCACCTTCCTCGACATGATGGGGTGAGGAAGGGACCATAGAGGTAGAAACTACTAGACCAAAAAGAGACCGTTGTTTCCGCCCGGTTTCGAACCGGGGACCTTTCGCGTGTGAGGCGAACGTGATAACCACTACACTACGGAAACCGCTGCTCCCGGAGCCCGGCAGACACCGCCCTGAATCCACCCGCGGCCGGGCGGCGGGCGACGCG